CAGAATACTATCCTGGGCCTTGAAAAGCAACTCTTATGGAGACTTGCACTCCAGGAATAATTGAGGTAGACAATGGGACTCATTTCTGGAACAATCTCATAAACACTTGGGCCAAAGAACATGGCATTAAGCAGGTATATCACATTCCCAATCATGCACCAGCCTACAAAAAATTAAATGATACAATGGACTGTTAAGGACTACACTGAGAGCAATGGGTGGTGAGACCTTCAAACATTGGGATATATATTTAGCATAAGCCACCTGGTTAGTTAACACTGGGGGATCTGCCAATCGAGCTGGCTCTGCCCTATCAAAACCTTGATATACTGTAAAACAGGAAAACATTTCTGTAGTGCACATCAAAAACATGCTGGGGAAAATAGTCTGGGCTATTCCCTCCTCAGGTAAAGGTAATCCTAGTCATGGGATTGCTTTTGCTCAGGGACCCGGGTGCACTTGTTGGGTAATGCAGGAGGATGAGGAAGTCCAGTGTGTGCCTCAAGGGGATTTGATTTTGGGTGAGAAAAACTGATCAATAAAATTGTCTTATGCTAATTGCTATATAATACTGTGTATTATCACTTCCATGATGGGTATATGCTCATCACCACACTACGCATCTCTCAATGCTCGTCTCCACCACTCCAGATTTGGGGATGTGAATCTGACTCCCCTTTGATCACCACATTAATGAAGAATGAACTGTGATGAAACTGGACAAGTGTAGCAGTGATGGAATCTGAACTGGCTTTTACATGCGACAACACCACACACCATCTTTCTGCCCTGAAAGACTGTCATGACAGACGGAACCCAAGGACATGGACAAAATTAACTCGATGGACTTTTATAGAGATGGTCCACAGACTAAGGGAACAATATCTGTGTGTGTATATCTCTCAAAAGGCAGGAAAGGTGATGGTATGTTAGAAAGTGTGGGACCTGGCATGATATAAATGGTGTGGAATAAGGGCTGGATACAGTCCTGGTTTCAGGTGGGACAAAGTTAATAGTTAATTTTCTTCTTAGTAGTTGGTACAGTGCTGTGTTTTGGATTCAGTATGAGACTAATGTTGATAACCCACTGATGTTTTGGTTGTTGCTAAGTCAAGGCCTTCTCAGTGTCATGCTCTGCTAGTGAGGAGGTGTACAATAAACTGTGGGGGAGCATAACCAGGACAGCTGCCCCGAACTGGCCAAAGGGGTATTCCATAATACCATAGAACATCATGCTCAGTATATAAACTGGGGGGAGTTGGCCATGAGCCACCAATCACTGCTTAGGAACAGGCTGGGCATTGGTCAACAGGTGAGCAATTTTATTATGCATCACTTGTTTTTCTTGGGTTCAATTCCTTTCTGTCCCTTTCCTTGTCATTGCATTTTTTAATTATTTTTGGTTTTGTTATTATTATTATTACATTTTACTTTTTTTTCTATTTCTGAACTGTTTTTATCTCAGTCCATGAGCTTTATCTTTTTCTGATTCTCCTCCCCATCCCACCAGGGAGGAGCAAGGGGAAGTGAGTGAGTGACTGCATGGTACTTAGTTCCTGGCTGGGGTTAAACCACAAGACAGCATGTTCTCAAAACTGACAGTAACAGTGGTAAAATCATTTAAATATTTATATATAATAAAAATATATATATAACTGTCAACAATTGTTTAAAGCACAGGTTTTCTGCAAGAAAAAAAGTCCAAATTTATCTTCTGAAAATCAATTTGATTCACATCAGTACAAAATAGCACTGATTACTGCGGTGTTACACAAAACAAAGACTGTTTTTCAGTTATGTCCTCAGAGAAGGGAAACAAGCAATAAAGAATTGAACAAATGATTCTTCTTGCATTAAAAAGGTACCCAATGTTTTGATGTCATTATACAACATATACTGTGTAACACTATTACAAAACACGGGCACGTAGAAAATAAGGTGATTGCTGACAGACAACATGGCTTCAGTAAGAGCAGATTGTGCCTGACAAATTTGGTGGCCTTTTATTGATGGAGTTATGGCAGTGGTGGATGAAGGAAGAGGGATTGATGTCATCTACCTGGACTTGTACAAAGCATTTGACACTGTCCCTTGACACTGTCCTGCATGACATCCCTGTCTCTAAAATGGAAAGTAGGATTTGATAATGTAGCAGGCTGCTCTGCCTATTTTGCAAAGCTATCTGTGGTGGACTGAGAGGGTGTGTCATGCTGCTTTTGGTGTTGAATTATGCTAAAACCAGTCTGACTCATCAACCCCAAAGTTAAACATCCTGATAGTGAGGTAAAGGTGTGGCAGATATGGTAAAGTATCCTTATCTAAAAATGTGAAGCTGACACAGCTGGCCTGGGGACACATGACTGACAGTCAATCACTTTATACTATACAAGTCCAGTCCCACTTTTAAATGGCATGTTCTTCTAACATACCCCTTGTTGGAGTGTGTGTGGAGATTCCTTCCTTGGGTGGGGACACCCCTCAAGGTTACTCCTTGAGGTTGAGTGAAAGAGATTTGCCTAGTCATTGGTATGGGTGAGTAACATCAATCTCTACCTAATAATTGGGGTTTTTTGTTAGCTTTAATATAATTGCTTTGATATAGTACACTATACTATACTAGTAGTTTTAGTTTCTATACTCTGTAGTAAATAATTCTGATTAGGATATTTTTGTCTAATCATTTATCATAATAAATCATTTGTCATAATAAATCATTCATTTTTATTTAAATATATCTGGTTTGCCATCCTTAATCCTGTAGGTCAAGTTGTACAAAGGCTCAATCGCACCTCTATAATCCCTTAGGCTTAAACTGTTGACAAAGTCTAGGGCTAAGATCGGATACAGCCACACCCAGACTCCTCTCTGAGAAGGAGTTCAGAAAGCAAGGGGGTTGTTTCTGCACCTCACGACTCAACAGGAGGGTTTCTCTAATAAACTTTGTCTGAAGCTCCCACTCCACCTGCAACAGACAGATAGACTACTTGGTGGATAAGGAATTGGCTGGATGATTGCATTCAAAGAGTTGCAGTCAACAGCTCGATGTCCAGGTGGAGAGTAGTGATGAGTGGTGTTCCTCAGGGGTTGGTATTGGGAGTAGTACTGTTTAATATCTTTGTTGGTGACATGGACAGTGGGATTGAGTGCACCCTCAGCAAGTCTGATGACATCACCGAGCCATGTGGTGCAGTTAACATGCTGGAGGGAAGGGATGCCATCCAGAGGGATCTTGACAGCTTGAGAGGTGGGTCTGTGCAAACCACATGAAGCTTAACAAGGCTAAATGCAAGGTCCTGCACCTGGCTTGGAGCAATCCAGAGCACAAGTACAGGTTGAGTGGAGAATGGATTGAGAGTAGCCCTGTAGAAAAGGACTTGGAGGTGTTGGTGGACAAGAAGCTTCACATCTTGGCAATGTGTACTTGCAGCCCAGAAAGCCAACCATATAAAAAATAATCTGCATCAAAGGCTACATCAAAAGAAGCGTGACCAGCAGGTGGAGGGAGGTGATTCTCCCCCTCCACTCTGCTCTTGTGAGACCCCACCTGGAGTACTGCGTAAAGTTCTGGGGTCCTCAACATAAGAAAGACATAGACGTGTTGGAGCAAGTCCAGAGGAGGGCCATGAAGGTGAACAGAGGGCTGGAGCACCTCTCATATGAAAACAGGATGAGCGAGTTGGGGCAGGGCTGTTCAGCCTGAAGAAGAGAAGGCTCCAGGGTGACCTTATTGCAGCCTTCCAGTACCTAAAAGGGGCCTACAAGAAGGCTGGAGAGGTATTTTTTACAAGGGTATGCAGTAATAGGACAAGGGGGAATGGCTTCAAGATGAAAGAGGGTAGATTCGGATTAGGTATTAGGGAGAAATTCTTTACTGTGAGGGTAGTGAGGCACTGGAACAGGTTGCCTAGAGAAGTTATGTATGCCACATCCCTGGAAATGTTCAAGGCCAGGCTGGATGGGGCTCTGAGCAACTTGGTTTAATGGAAGGTGTCCCTGCCCATGGCAGGTGGGTTAGAACTAAACGATCTTTAAGGTCCCTTCCAACCCAAACCGTTCTATGATTCTATGAAAACTGAAGCCTGCACACTTAGATCATGTTTGGTAGTATAACTGATGTGGTGTATTCCCTCTGGACAGCTTTTCTGTATGTAAAAGAATTCTAGTTGCTGTGTTAAAAAACAATGGATGAAAGAATGCAATAGTGCTGTTGCCACAACACTGAAAACACTCACCTTTTTAACGTGTAAACTATAAAATACACTAAGTTTCTTTTTTGGTTTTTTTTGTTTTTTTCTTGATACTTAATGGAGTCAAATATCTTTAGATTGATTATGTAAATGATCAAAAGACATTCCTGTCATTGTACCATTTCTTAATGGGTAAACTTTAAGGATGATATAGTAATTTTATTTCTCCTATATTTCAAAAGCCTGTTTCACAACAAATTAGCAAAACAAGCAATCTCTGAAGAATTAAAAACTGCCTCCAAAGCCTTTTTCTTCTGGCTTTTTAAAAATACAGCTTTATATTTACAGTACAGTAAATAAAAATACAGCATTTGTTAACTAGATATTTAGAAGTTCAGGGCAGCTTTCTACTAGCAAAACCAGGCAGCCTGTCTGTTTAGGGTATTAACAGTAAATTTTCCATCCACAAAACACAGATAGCTATTTCTTTTTAAAATGCAAAGGTTACAGAATAAAATTATGCTACATGGCACAAAATGTACCATGAAACCATAAAAATTATTATGCTACATGACACAAAAAGTACCTTCTAGTGTGTTTTACCTGAAAGCAATACTGAAAACATGAAGCATTTAGAGGGAAAGAGTATCTGTTCAGAGACAAAGTTCCTAGTTACTCTGATCTGGTCAGTTTAAGTTACTAATTTCTCTACAGGGACACTTGTCTCATAAAACAGTAAGAAATCTCAGTAACCACCACCCCTCAAAAAACCCCCAGTATGAATTCTTAGTCCAAAAAAATAAATATACCTACCTGTGTTTTGAGTGTGATCTTTTCCTTCTAGATTGGGATTTTGAGCTAGACCTGGATTCTGAACGAGAATGGGAACGAGATCGACCACCTTTTCTTTCACTGCTCTTTCTAGACTCTGAGAGAAAAAAACAACATTACAATGTAAGCTCAGAACATTTAAAGATCCCAGCTAACAATCTGGCACAAGTGGAATGTACCACACTGTCATGGTTTTGCTTGTTCTGGGAAACTAAGCAGGAATTTTCCCTTCCCCCTGCCCACTGTGTGAATGGGATGTTGAATAGGCAGATTGGCTGTGCCTTGAGCTGCCTCAGAGGTAATTGGCACAGAAGAACAGCTCCTCCTGGCACCTCAACTATCGGTGTTGAGTTGGATGTTCAAAGGGAAGACGCCCTCTACGCATCATGTCAGTGAAGCTACATGGAGTAAGTGGATTGCCCTGATCACACAGTGCACCTACATTGGAAATCCAAATCACCCTGGGATCCTAGAAATCATCACAAACTGGCCAGAAGGTGCGAATTTTAGCCTAGCAGATGAAGAAGAAGGGGAGCAGGTCGTACGGGCGGAGGAAACCCCAGCATGCAATCAACTACCAGAAGAAGAAATACGCTATGCATTCGTCACTGATGGTTCCTACCGCACTGTAGGGATGAAACGTAAAGGGAAAGCAGTTGTATGGAGTCCCACATGACAAGTTGCAGAAGCTACGGAAGGAGAAGGTGAATCGAGCCAATTCGCAGAGCTCAAAGTTGTCCAGTTGGCATTGGACATTGCTGAACAAGAGAAGTGGTTAAAACTTTACCTCTACACAGATTCGTGGATGGTGACCCATGCCCTGTGGGGGTGGTTGGACAGATGGAAGAATGCCAATTGGAAATGTAGGGGAAAACCCATCTGGGCCACTGATATATGGTAAGACATTACTACCTGAGTAGAGAAGCTGACTGTGAGGGTCCACCACCTAGATGCCCACATGCCCAAAAATCGAGCCAATGAGGAGCATCGCAACAATGAACAGGCAGACCGAGCTGCACAAGTTGAGGTGTCCCAGATGGACCTAGACTGGCAGCACAAAGGAGAGTTGTTCTTAGCACGATGGACCCATGATGCCTCTGACCATCAGGGCAGAGATGCCACCTACGGATGGGCACGAGACCGAGGGGTGGATCTAACCATGGACGTTATCTCTCAGGTTATCCATGACTGTGAGACATGCGCTGCCATTAAACAGGTTAAGAGACTGAAGCCCCTGTGGTATGGTGGACCATGGAGTAAATACAGGTACCGGGAGGCTTGGAAGGTTGATTATATCACACTGTCACAGACCCATCAAGGTAAGCGCTATGTGCTCACCATGGTGGAAGCCACCACTGGATGGCTGGAGACGCATCCAGTGCCCCATGCCACTGCCAGAAATACCATATTGGGCCTTGAAAAGCAAGTCCTGTGGCGACAGGGCACCCCAGAGCGGATTGAGTCAGATAATGGGACCCATTTCAAGAACAGTTTAGTTATCACCTGGGCAAAGGAGCATGGCATTGAGTGGGTGTATCACATCCCATACCATGCTGCAGCCGCAGGGAAGGTTGAATGGTGTAATGGACTGTTGAAAACCACCCTGAAGGCATTGGGTGGAGGGACTTTCAAACACTGGGATCAGCACCTAGCAAAGGTTACATGGTTAGTCAACACTAGAGGCTCCATCAATCGAGCTGGTCGTGAACAGAGACCCTTCACACTGTAGATGGAGAGAAAGTCCCAGTGATTCACATGAGGGGTATGTTAGGTAAAACAGTTTGGGTTAACCCTGCCTCAAGCAAAGGCAAATCCATTTGTGGGATTGTTTTTGCTCAAGGACCCGGTTGCACATGGTGGGTGATGCAGGAAGATGGAGAAATATGGTGCATACCTCAAGGGGATATTATCTTCAGGTGAACAGGCCACAACTCTGTATCTGTATCTTTATCTGTACTTATATATTTGTGAATGTGTATATAGTTTAGAATAATGCAGGTATGTATGGAGTTCACAAATTTTAATTTGATAGAGTGTGGTGGCATGGGAAAGAAAAAGTTAGGGGTGGATAATGTCATGACTTTGCTTGTTCTGGGAAACTAAGCAGGAATTTTCCCTTTCCCCTGCCCACTGTGTGCATGGGATGTTGAATAGGCAGGTTGGCTGTGCCTTGGGCAATGGACTAACACAAGTTGTTGCCCCTGAAGATCTTGTCTGTGGGGAGGGGTGAGGAGTTACTTTTTACTTTTTCTTCTCCTCTCCTGGGAAACGGTGGAGACTTCATTGTTGTCTGAGCTGGGACAACGTCTGGGTGGTAGAAGCTCTGAGGTCACTTTGTTCTCAGTCCGACTGGTTTTGCTTTTTGTTGTTTGGTTTTTTTCCTCCTCTCCTGGCCCTGGTTTTACCTGCAACCTGTTTTTCTACCCAGTCCGGGACCTGTTTGGATTTTCATCAGAGAGGAACTGTTCAGGAGGGGGGTTGCCTTCTTCCCCTCTTCCGTTCCCATGGGTTTTTTTTGGCAGCAGTTCTTGTGCACATCAATGGATAGGGGAAGCTACATCACACGGTTCAGCCAGCAGGACAGAGTGAGTTCCTGTTGGCAAGAACTTTTTTTCTTTCCCTCCTTTCTCCCCTTTCCTGGTGAGGGGAGGGAAGACCTCCAGCTTCTCCAGCACACCCAGGGGCCCCCCCATGTGGTGACCATCAGTGATCCAACAGCGCCCCCTGCTGACTGTGGTTAGAATTGCACCAAAGGGTGCAAAGTGAACTGTTAACTTTTTTGTTTGTTTGTTTGTTTTGAAGGGGATTATTTTTGGGTATAGGATTATTGTTTGGCTGTTTTATTTGTGTCCTTTCGTTGTTCTGCCAATACACATATGTCTTTCAATAAAGGGCTGTTATTTTTTTTCCTTTTTCCACACTTTCTCAATTGAAGCCTCTTAATTTCAGATTTACAATTGCTTAGAGGGAGGAGTTTGAGTCTTCCTCATAACTCATCCTCAGTAAAACACTTGTGTCTCATTAAACTGAGACACACACATATAGTGCAAAGGGCCTATGCTTTGCACATCCTTCTTTGCAAATATCCTTGAGAAACATCCAAGAAAGTCATTGCACATACTCATTGAGTGCAGCCATCCTGCAGCAGTACACATAAACCAGATAACTCTAAACAGCAGCTAGCTCTTTTAGGAATGGGATTTATGTTGCTGCCACAATGCACAATATTACAACATGTTCTCCTCTGGTATATTATTAAATATAACTGCTTTTTTTTTTAATAACCTCAGAAAAGCAGAGTAAATTTAGAGGGCAGAGTTTTCAAAACAAGTGTAAAAGGTAAATAATAATTAGTACTTTTTATACTTTTAAATATTCCAATGACTGTAAAAATACTGAAGTTCTATTCCTCAAACTCTGTTTTGGGGGAGGAAAGAAAGGAGAGCAGGGAGTAAAAAGTTTGATCCAAAGGCCAACAGAAAACTTACCAGCAATCTCTGCAGGCTATGGTTCAGACTCTAAAAGATTATTATTCTGCTGCTTAACACTGAGGAAATGTTAGAACTATTTTTCTCCCAACCCTCAAAAAAGATAGAAAATACTCCATCCCCTCCCCGCTAAAAAAAAAATAAAAGCTCAAGACCCTCTATTATCTCACCTACGTAAGTCAATGTCTGGGTTTCTTAGTAAGAAGAATGACAAAATCTTGCGGATGAAAAGAAAAAGGAGGATTTCAACTGCAAGTTTAACAAGTTGAGAATTTTTTATATTGTGGGTTTGCAATCAGTTAAGGTCAGTATAAATCAGCATTTAAATGTCTGTCTAACCACTCAAACCACTGACACCTTCCTCCTTGACCTGACATTTCAGTGTTAAGAGGGATAAAGGAACCAATCTGAATGAAAAAAGTCTGTTACAATATGTTAAGTTTTATCACAGATTCATTCTCTGATCCCATTTGCTATGAGGATGCACATAGTCTTGAGGCAGTATGAAAAAAAGCATAGCACAGTGGCAAAATTAACCTGTCGGAAAAAAGCATAATACTGCTGCTTTCAGCAGCACACTAGCTCCCTCTGATCATGAAACTTTGGCATTAATGGGTGCTAGAAGAGAAAAAACCCAAAATATAATGCATTTTTTTAAGTTTGTAAGTACTTTGAACTTTAAAAGCACCAACATTATTTTCTTTTGTTTTCCCACACACACGTTGCTCACCTTTGAGTACCCTTTTCTCATGTTTTAAAGCGCTCTTAAAAGCATCTGTCAAGGTACATACAGAACATGTCTGTTAGGTAATGAACATAATATACCTACCTGGCTCAATAGCAGCAGATATGAAAGACTGGGCTTCCCTTACTCTCTTCATCACTTCTTCCAGTTCCTTGGCAGCAGCTTGTGGTGTCATTTCAGGAGGCTTCACTATTGCATTATTGGAGTGATTTATTCTAAATTAAGAAAAAATAAAACCTTGAACTTCCAAACTCTTGAAAAGGAAAAATTAAAAACAAATAAGAAAACACCTCAACTTCCATGTATGACTAGAAAAGTCAAAGTTCAGCAAAACTACAGATTTTTCCTAACACTCATCTTTATTAAGTATCTGAAATGTCTCTTTTATTGTTTTCAAATAGTATGACTTTTAAATAATTGCAGTACAATATTTCTGTGTTATTTTTAGTAGAAGTCTAGAAATCTATTTCAGATCAAATTTCTACATTAATGCCTACTAATTACATACACATCATATATAAAGTTTAATTAGTACAAAGGACTTTGCATATTCTTTCACTGTTGTGGCTTTCACTAATTCAAGATTAGATTTTACTCAATGCCATCCATATTCTTCTTGGAAAAAGTTATGCCCAATCTTGAAATTTGAGTTCATAAAAGTGTTCCAGTTTACTAACAATAGGTTTATATTGAAAATATATTAATCACAGCAGTTTCCTTCACATCAGAGTCATAAATGTATAAGGATACTAAGAAATCTCTCATTCGATATTCATATGGATAATTAATTTCTTACTTCAGTGGCCTGTCTCCAAACATAACTCCATTAAAGGCAAGAGCTCGAGGTACAGAATTTTGGTCTGCAAATTCCACAAAAGCAAATCGAGTTGGTTGTGTCTCATCACCTGCCATTCGCACAAATTTGACTTCTCCAACTTGCTTAAAAAATTCAAGCAGTTGATCTGCTGTTGTAGTCTAGAAAGAGTCAAAGAACTCAGTTGAAGTAAAATATATAATGAAAACCACTTATCCAACATATCAGATGATCTAAGCGCTACAAATTTTGGAAAGACATCTCATCATTATTACACAGGTGACATGAATTCGGTAATGTTACACTTTAAGAAAGGTATTTTTTATTTCCATTAATCTAAAAAATATACTACAATTTAAAATAGTGCAACCATGAGCCCTGAAGTCCTATATCTAGGTTAAAAAAGCACTTGCACAGGATTTTGCACTTTTCAGACAACTTATAATAACTGATCAATTGAAAAAAATCCAAACAGTATTACAAGACTTCACTTTTATCTGTTTTTATACTAGTTTCAAGCTTGTTTTATTTCATTGTGTACTTATATACTCTAGTAGCTACTTTGGCAGTCGAAAAACCCGAAAATTAAATAGTTCTATTTCCATCAGTCAAAAGCAAACTGTTTTTCAATTCATTCAATCAATTGCTGAAAAAAACATATTTCTGACAGACCTAACTTTCCTGTCAGACCAACTTTAATGTACTTATGCTGATTTTGCAACTTCAACTAGGTCAAATCATTTCTTCTTACTGTACTTTAACAACTGCACAGTGTTGTGGGGGACATGCTCTCACAAATTCTGGGGCATTGTTCAGCTAATGTAACCCAGCTGGACATTTGATCAACACACACAATCATAAGTATGTTTCTTGAATGCAGCTACAGCGTGATTTCTCTGGTTTCCTGCTAGAATGAATTCCACAGTCTGGTCTTATATGATTGGCAAAGGGACATTGAAGAATTTGAAATATCTCTAGTAACCAAAAAGAGTATTTTTGTTTAAATTTCTATTGGCATCAACTAATGAAAACTCTTAAAATGCAAGATTTTAATTCACAAATTCCAATTTTGCATCTTCCATTATTATTGCCAACAAAACCCAAAAAAGCTACCTGTGAATTCAAGTTTCCAACATAGACTGTTCTTCTAATTTCATCAATTTTGGATGGGTCCACATTCCCCATAATAGGTGGCTGTGGTATTTCTCCCAGTGTTGTAATGTTAGGGTCCAATGCTGCTGCTGGTATAGCCCCCAAAGTGCCAAGTGAAACGCCAAGCTGGGAAATATAAAAATAGGATGTGTTTTGCAACCAAGCACTGGAAGGAGACACTTCACCTTTTAAATACTTGCCTACCTTGTGCATTTCTGTAAAAATAAATCTAATTAATATAGGTAAGATTATAAACTGTAAGGTCCCAGAATGAAGAACTGAAATTTCTCCTGGGGACTATTATAAAAAGTCACTTAAAAATGACTACTAAATTGGTCTTCTGAGTTCCTGGTTTGAATTTTATTTTCTCCACCCAAAAAAGCAACTGCCTTTCCAGCAATAGTTTTTTTTATGTAACAAAACTACTCTCTTTACTTGAAAACATCTTTTTGTTATTGAACATAGGGTTATATAGCTTGAATTCCTCTTTGATATTCTAAAATTCACAGAATATTTATTAAATATGTATATAAAAACAAAGTGAATTCACCTTAGATGGTTAATTTAGAAACAAAGGTCTCTAAACACCACTATTACACTGTGGTGGGTTGACCTTGGCTGGGTGCCAGGTGCCCACCCAGCCACTCTATTACTCCCCTTCCCAGTTGGACAGGAGAGAGTAAGATGGAAAACAACTCGTGGGTTGGGATAAGGCAGTTTATTAAAGCAAAAGCAAAGTGAAAAGATAACACAGTTTATTCTCTACTTCCCATCAGAAGCGATGGTTGGTCACTTACAAGAAGCAGGGCTTCAGCACATGTAACAAGCAGCCATTGGATACAATGAATGCCTGCCTTCCTGCTCCTTGCCTTAGCTTTTATCTCTGAGCTGACATCATATGGTATGGAATATCCCTTTGGTCAGTTTGGGTCAGCAGGCCTACTTGCATCCCCTCCCAGGATCTTGCCCTTGATTGAGGAAGGAATGTTACAGTGCTGATGCTATGCTCAGCAGTAGCCAAAACACTGGTCTGTTATCAACACCCTTCTAGCTACCAAAGCAAAGCACAGCACTGTGAGGGCTGCTATGGAGAAATGAACTCCAGCTCAGCCAGACCTAATACATACATCAGTCCTGTTTAATATCTTTATCAATGCCCTGGATGAGGGGATCGATAGCACCCTCAGCAAGTTTGCAGACAACACCAAGATGGGTGGGAGTGTTGATCTGTTTGAGGGCAAGAAGGCTCTACAGAGGGATCTGGACAGGCTGGATCAATGGGCCAAGGCCAATTGTATGAGATTCAACAAGGCTAAGTACCAGGTCCTATAATCGTGTCAGAACAACCCCATGCAACATTACAGGTTGGGCACAGAGTGGCTGGAAAGCTGCCTGGCAGGAAAGAACCTGGGTGTGCTGGTCGACAGACAGCTGAACTTGAGTCAGCAATGTGCCCAGGTGGCCAAGAAGGCCAATGGCATCCTGGTTTGTATCAGAAATAGTGTGGCCAATAGGACTAGGGAAGTGATTGTCCCCCTGTACTCGGCACTGGTGAGGCCACACTTCAAATACTGTGTTCAGTTTTGGGTCCCTCACTACAAGACACTGAGATGCTGGAGTACATCCATAGAGCAATAAAGCTGGTGAAGGGTCTGGAGCACAAGTCTTATGAAGAGTGGCTGAGGGAGCTGGGTTTGTTTAGCCTGGAGAAAAGGAGGTTCAGGGGAGCCCTTATCTTTCTCTACAACTACCTGAAAGGAGGTTGTAGCCAGGTGGGTGTCAGTCCCTTCTCTCAAGTAACAAGTGATAAAATGAGAGGAAATGGCCTCAAGTTTCACCAGTGGAGGTTTAGACTGGATATTAGGAAAAGTTTCTTCACCAAATGGTTGCCAAGCATTGGAACAGACTGCCCAGGGAAGTGGTTGAGTCACCATCCATGGAGGTATTTAAAAGACGTGTAGATATGGCACTTAGGGACGTGGTTTAGTGCTGGACTTGGCAGTGTTAGGATTACGGTTGAACTCAATGATCTTAAAGGTCTTTTCTAACCTAAATTATTCCTTGATTATTTATGGTTCATTAGCAGCAATTATGCAGTGGAAACATGAGTAAGCACATTTTTTCAATGAAATGCCTGAACTATTACTTCACATCTCAATGAAAGTAGTATCATATATTTTAAGACAAAAAAAGGCCAACATTCTTATAAACTAAAAATTATTTTTAAAGTCATCCAATGTCTCTCATACAATGATGGTTATGAACCATAAACAGAATTAGTCTAAACCTCTAACTGGTGATTTTGGGTACACTGTTTCATTATAAAAATTGCACACTTTAAATCAGCTCTTGGAGCACAAGCGTCAAAAGGGATACTGATGTTTGTGCAGGTTTTTAAAATAATGCAGAAGAAATCAAACTTGATTAAAGCAATGTTTTTATGGAAGGAAGGAAATAAGGAAGACACTAATATATTAATTTCTTTTAGGATGCTGATCAGTATCAGCTAAGAATATGAGAGTGGGAGTAATGTTTCTGGTCATGGAGACAGATGAGGAATCATTGAAGTACAGATAGGTTTGAGAATCTGCAGGACACCCTTAACTTGAGTCAAAAATCCAGGATGGTACCAGTAACATCAATACTGCAATATGTTTGGAAGACTGAGGACTTTCATCTTCAAATAACATGGGGTTAGTGACATTAAGCCCAATTTTTTGACGTAGGATTTACTATTTCCAGAATTCTCACGGATTAGGGCACAGCAGCTTGCTGATGTCAAGAAAGGCTTACAGAGACAAAAGAGAATTGAGCAGAAGCAGCAGCAGCTAGCTCCTATGTTTTTTGTACTGAAAACATAGGCTAACAGTAAAAAAACACATCATAGAGATATCAAGGAAAGCATCCTATTGCAGCATTTTAATATTATGAAGAATTCTGTCAATTTAACTATGATGTTTTAACAGTTTATTAGGAGGTGGATAGCATTGCCAGTGGAACAAATTAATAGGTGTAGGGAAGGGACAACAACTAAAATGAACACAACCAAATCCAGTATTTATCCACTATTTTGCAAAACAAGAATCTGAAAGAAACACCCAGGATAGGTAGTGCATGGACATCTTGTGATCTACCCTCAAAAGAGGCACCACAGCTAAATCCTCACTGAGCATATAAGAGGACAATGTCCACAGATCAGATAGTTCTTGTTCTCTGAACACAGAAAGGCTACCGAGCATAAAGTAAAACCAGAAATCAAATAGGGACTGAATTTTACTTACTGTAGTCAAAGGGGTTGGTGTAGGTATAGGAAGCAACCCTGCACCAGGCATCAGGCTTGCCATAGTAGGAGCAGGCGCCAATAGAGAAAGGGCTTTGGCTTCATCTGGAATTTTACCTGAAGAAGCAAATGAAAGCATTACGCAAAGTTGGAACACTACATAGATGTTAGTCTTTCTATGATTTTACAATTACCCTTGCATTAAAAAAAATAATAAATAAGAATGAATCTATGTACCAGATCCTTACAAAGAAACAAATACAAACTTAAGTTTTTCCTTTTACCCTGCTCTACTAGGAAAAACAAAAGTGAGCAAAACTTCAAAGACTAGCAATCTTATTAATGGATTATTTTTAAAACTGAATAATGTACACAATTATTTAACACTTGGAGCTATGGGTCACCTGTACTGGAAACTTAATGTTCATGAACCATACGATATCAAACATGGACGCTTTCCCAGGGCGGTGTTTTCACGGTGATCGAAAGTTGTTTTACACATGACAACTGTTCGTGTTGGCTGCATCACTAATAGCACACAGAACATCAGATACAGAAAAGAAGAACATTTTTTAAAGTTTAATCCCCAAAAATGGCAAATAACCAAATCAGTTTAAAAAAAAAAAAAGGAACAAAGTATGTGCTAACTGAAATTAGTGAGCTTTTTCACCCTCTAGTGTTACCTATTTTTGATGTTAAAATAAATAAAAATAAAATAAAAATTACTGTGACTCCACACAAGACATACTACAAGTGAAGTTGGGAATGGAGAAAGGGAGGGCAGAAAAATTCAGATTTGTACTGTCTTACATTCTAGGTCTCCTCAGTTTATCTGAAACTTTGATAAATTAGCTTTAAATTTACTGAAATTGAAGAAAATCATAACTGATCAGTTAAGTAAGCTATATTTTCCTATAATATGTATTTCCTACTTTGTCAACCATATTATATTTTCCCTGTCATGCTAAAGTTTAAGTAATATCTAATCTGTACTAAATACAGGTTTCATTCAGTTAGTTACAATTAGACTGCTAAATAAATAATAAAAAAATCTTCAAAAATCAAAAGATGTAACAGTTGATTACAAATGCAATTAAAGGTATGTTTTAAATTTGAAATGCAAAGGGATTTAAACTGGTACAAACATTAAATATTGAACTGAAAAAGTACAGAAAGGAAGTTCTAATTATACTAGGTATCTATGATTTATTCAAAATTACTGGAGTAACTGTATATATGCTATCCAACTGAGCCCTTTGGTTATTACCCCATGTACTTTAATAAGGTAAATGCTTTTATTTAAACAATGTTTTAAAAGTCAAGGTATATACAAATACCGTGCCAGTGGTTTTTACTGCTTTGGTTCAAACTGTATATGTTTTAACTATAAAACCCCTAACTTCAGGATTTAAAAATTAATATAAATGTTGTTATAAAAAACCAAAACATAATATTTTCCAAACATTGCAATTTTAGCTATATGAGTGAAAATAAACCCCATGGGAATGATACTACTTGAAAAAAAAATAAAAAGACAAAAGTTGAAAACCTGTTCTATAGATCTGCAGCAAGGACTAGGTTAGATTTGGAGATGACCAAAGGACAAAACAAATATAAATGAAAATTAATTTATATGTAGCATGAATGGAATAGAAAAGATAAAATAACAATACTCTTCTTTTTTTTCCTCACACCTTCTATTTAGATTTATTTTATTCAAGTTTTGAGGCACCTTGCTCCTTAAGATGTAACAAACCACTTTGTTTTGCTATATAAAGGAGAAAAATAGGAAAATTATTAACATTTAAGAATTAACTGTGCAATTATGTCTTCCAGGGCTTTTATAAAAACATGCATAAATTTGAATCATTGTCATAATGTTGAGTACTCTTTACAGGTCTCATTTTGAAGTCAGACATGCAATGAGAGGTGTATCTGATTTGCCAGACTGCTCATGAGAATCAGGTACCTTGCCTCGTATCCTGTCTACTATGAAGCTAACTAACAGGCTTCCAAATATACAGTTCCAACAACTGTACGTGCAAATTAGGCATACAATTATATACCAGTTCTTCTGAAAAACAAAATACTGAAGTATTTCCAAATGATTGCTGAGCCAGTATCTTGCAATTAACTGGATACTCATATAGGTTTCTACAGGATCAAGACATGGCTCAAATAAATTCAATGGCAGAAATGGCACCTAAAGTAGTACATCTGCATCCTAATTTAGATCCTTGATCAATAGTGTACATATGCCTAATTCAAGTATGCACTTACAAACAGCCAATTCAATACACACTTAACCAGATAAACCTAAGAGATGCTTAAGACATTTAGACCTTTTAAATAGGAACTGAGTTATGCATATAACTAAACAGACAGGGAGTCAAGTTCAGAAAGGTACTTAAATACAACTCTAAGTATATGGCTCATCTTACTGAAATAATTTGAGTTATTCATTTGCTCAAACATTTCTGAAGGAATCAATTGAACAATTTCAGTTAAATAAACTATTATAGTTCAGAAAAGCAATAACATACATATATAAATTATGAAGTTAGCAGCATTATTTCCAGAATACTTTGGTCCCTCAAGAATGTAATGTTTAATTTTAAATACAAAATCTATTTGGTCAGTTCCATGACACAAAGATCTGTTTATTTATTTTATTCAAAAATGAAGAAAAGTCTATTTCTACAGACAAAGCTCTGAAAATTGGCCTGAATTTTCAGAGATGCTGTCTTTTCAAAAGATCCCCCTTCTAGATTTTAAGGTTTTAAGATCAGGTCATACTTTTTAACAATTCTATAGAAACTAAACTGTTGTGGGAAAAAAAAAAGAAAACCTGAAATATCTTGCAAATTTACTTCCCTGTTCTTTAGACAGTTTTGAAAAACAAATTAATATGTAAGGCCAAATAACCTCACGAGTTATAGCCTTTAAGTTTTGGAGTGTTATCTCCATTTATTTATTTATAAAAGGGATACAAGCCCACAAAATACAAAAAAATATGAGGGTAATGACATAACAAATTAGGACACATTAGTTTAAGCATAACTGTTTTGGTTTTTAAACTCATGGTATTTAAAAGCTGAATGGAAATGAGGCAAAGATATTTATTTTCTAATAAGGGAAACAGACAAAATAAATATGCCACATCTATACCACATCCTTAGGAATATTTCTTTGAAGCTTATGAGTGTTTAGTAAATTACAGATTCTATGTTCATTATTTATTTATTTATTTATTTATTCTTCACTTATGCAATGGAATCTGGAAGCAAATGTAGATTAGCTCTGTATTAACTAGAGATACCTTAGGCTTCTTCAGAAATATACAAATTTCCTAAGTGTTTAAGAGTCCTAGTCAACCTAATTCATACTAGAATCCATTTTGCTAAATGCTGAACAGAACTACCTGTGTTAAGCAGGTACTAATCACAGTATTTTTATCATTCTCCATGTGCTCAGAAATTAATTTCTTACTCTTTATACTGAAACTACATGGTTAATCCTCCCTTCCCCTCAAAACTGCTTTGAAAATACCAAAGTATGTTTCTTTTTAAAATACTTTCTTCTCACATCTACTTGAAAGAAAAGGAATCGTTATTTTTCTATTATTTTAAATCAATGAAAAATGCACACTTACAAATAAAATGTGTGATTCAATTCATGATTCTTATTGGATTTAGCAGCAGAGATTAAAGAGATTACTGGTAATTACCTCAACTGGCACAGCTAAATCCAACAGAGATCACGAAGCTCTTCCCAGCTGCATTTCACAGCCTGGCGCATTACAAGAGTGAAACCAATTGGTCCCAATGCAGCTGGCTGGGAAGAGCAACACCTGAAGACCAGACACACCACCTGGTCCAGCACTTTTGTTTCAGGGTTTCCATTTCACAAAAACAAACATCATTTAGGGATGAGAACCTTCGCAACCACTCCAGCATGGACTGCCAGGCCTTCTGAGATTGTGAGATGATACTTTTTTTTAAACTCTTCTTGAAATAATGACCACTGAAATAATGAGCGTGTAAAAGTGCAGTACACACATACATACACACACACACAACTTTTCAATCTTCCCATGAATAACAGTGTTGAATGACAATGTGCCTCACAACACATTCCAACCAAAATCTCAGGCTGCATTTGTACTTATGAGTGGTAAACAGTTTTTTATAAAAATTACAAAAACAAAAGGATGAAATCTTACTGCCACTGACCTCACTGGAGGAAGGTTTCATCAGAAGCAGACAAATATTTCATAACATTCAGTACTCATGAAAGTTCAATATCATAAATAATTATTTTAAACTCTTCATATTAGATATAAATAGAAGGCCTTCTTTTAAACAGATCATGCAACCTAAAAGTACTCCGCTGAGAAGAAAAATAGCAGAGAAAAATCAAGATTTTACTTTGTAAGGTTAATTTCTCCAGAAAGTTTCAACTTTCCTCTTCCAAGATAAGCTCACAAAGCATAACATATGAAAGAACGCATCTTAAAACTGATATATTTTTCCCTATTCCAGTCTGAAACAATGTGCTCATCTGTTGAATTTAGATGTTAGCCAAATTTATCCATAATTCACAGCATAAAACTTAATCATATCCTAAATTCTGTGTATACCATCCACAAGCAGCTTCAGGTCAACTTCAAAATGAAACTGTGAACCCTTTACAAAACATAATTTTTTCAGAACTGAATTACCAGTTCACAAGTACAAGAGATTTAACAGAACAAAACAAAAGGGAAAAAATGAAAATAAAATAAACAAAGGAAAGAAAGCAAAATAAAATAAAAACAGACACAGGGCGTCCATCTTCAGCAGGTCAGACTTCGATCTCATTTCCCCCATGAAGATTTCACTTGGCGTCAGGTTTAGTGGCATGGCAAACAATGCCTAACTCAGGCAAGTGTAACAGGTCTGCCTTGGCCAGTCTAGTCATCTAATAATGCACAAATATCACACAGAGAAAACATACAAAACCAAATTAATAGTCAAAATCCATCTACTAGACAATGTGGACATAAAATTTAGAATTATTAGGGTGGTATCTTTGTTTATCTTTCAACCTTTGTGTTCTCTAAGTATACTGTTTAAGGAAAAACCTAATGATACACACAAAAAAAATTTATATTTTGACAACATGATAATGTTAATGCATTTACAATTATATTTTTGTTAAATTGTTTATTAAATGTCACAAGATTAACATTGTTTTCATTGTGTAGTGATTCCTTTCTCATACTTTGAATTTAACACTGTTTAAATACACTCCAAATTTCAGATTTTATTGGTTTTTAAAACCAAGTTTTCATAGTTGCATTTTTCCCCTCCTATATGTTTGATTCAGCACATGAAAGGTGCTGGCACTGTCGGCCACGGATATAATTTAATCTTCCAGTAGAATATATAGCCATTGTTACTTTTAAAGCCCATGATACACTCTACTGACTCCGTTAACAACTACACATAGTGAATAAAAAATGTTGCACTATGGTCTTGAAAGCCATGCTTATCCCAGAGAATAAAGTTTTCAGAAAGTTAAACCTATATGAATTCATATCTTTACAAATTAAAAGTAGTGATTCTGTTAGAAAGTTACATGGAGACTGCATTCTGACTTGAAAAAAAATTTGACCTCACAACCCAATCACTTGTTCACGTAATTATGTATAAATCTCTGTGGGGTCCAGAATGGTCTAGAACAGTGACAATTTTTATGTAATACATTTTCTGAGAAATGCCTAATAAGTCAGCTACAAACAGGTCTGGAACAAGATTTCTCAGAACTTAGATTTTATCCTCCTTCCACTCATTGTCTACCATCAAGAGACACAGAGACACAGGAAAATGTAGCTTTACCTGCCTGTTACCAGGACTCTGTCCTGATACATTTTGCCTACCCAAAGCCTCTACAAAGCTTCAAGTGGATACAGCAATATCCTTAAGAACAAGTCCCAAAATAAAACCAAACCCCCTCCAAAACAAAGCATAAAAGCAACTAGAACTCTAGGTTTCAAAAAGACTTGTTAATATGCCCATGGTAACAAGGCTACAAGAATAGACAGTATATTGTAGGTCATCCTAAAGTCTATGAAATTTTGGAGACTTGTCAGAGTTTGCTAGGAACACCCCAGACTATCATTACAACAGCACTAATCTCATACTATCCAGATCATGATGTGGCAAACATGACAAAAAATGGCACTCTGGGACCACTGTTAAACTCCAAGGAGTCAACAGTATTTTTTGAACCAAAACTTGACTCTTGCACTTATAAAAGTCCTGTTAATAGGAGGTATTTCTGGACTTGCTGCAGTTTATGGAACAATCATTCTAAATATTGTTGTTTGTTTTAAAACAGCTACCACGTGAAGTTACCTTCACTCCACCAGCTGGAATGCCTCCACTTCAAAGAGGTAAAAAAATCCAGATCCAAATGGGCAGATGCTTAATTCCCACAATGATCACAATGAAGTCAATGGGGCTCTGCCTAACTCCAGAGACCTGCCTACAGTAAGTAGAGCCATGCTTCATAGAACTGTATTCAAATGTGGGATAGTATACTAACAACAAGAAATACCTTGTATTCAACATATGTAAACGCAGGACCGCAAAGCTAGTTAAAGGAACACTTGTAAATTTAGCATTCACCAAGTATTTTATTTTATTAAGAGTTATAAAAATATTTTACACTAGAACCATTCTGTACAGTTGACTGCATTTTTAAAGATATCTAAAATCAGAGTACCAGTATGCATAAGAAAGCCTTTTTTATTGCACACAAAGTAATATTTTCCACAGGAACAAGAAAGGAAAATTGAAATATTTTTTTATTAAATTAGCAAGTAAATATTTATATGCAAACAGCAATTATCACCACAAATGCAAAATATTTAAGATTAAATAAATAAAAAATGGTCAAATGCATATATCACATATCTACAAAAAAAATTGGGATTTGGTCTTAAAAAATTGAAAAATAATTAGTATTTAAAAAAAAAACAAAAACAAAAACAAAACCCAAAACACCATACCAAGGGCGACACATTAAGATCCAAACTGCAGTGTTATCACAGTGCCAGGAAACTGTTTTATCTTTTCAGTGCTCCATTGACTTCAGATAGAACTTTGTGTGGGAATAAGCTCGCCAACACAAACCATATTGAAGGGTATTATTTTACCTTCTTTTTCCAAAAACTATGTAATAACTGTGGAAAATTGAATTATCCTAATTTAAATCAACTCTTTTTTTTCTAATGCTGGATTTCAATTTAATCTATACAATTGTGTTTCTTTGTTCAATTTTCAATTTTGTTTCAAGGCTTTTTTTTACAGAAATAAAATAAAATAACAACAGAGCACTGCCTCCTTACATAAAAAGCTTAAAACAATTAGCAGACAGGACAAAGACCAACATTACAGAAGAACTTCTAAAATACCAACCTTCTGCACAGGGTACAACTATCAAAGCTCTGTCAATAAAAACTGTGTTTGTTAGATGCTGGGCCACACCAACACTTGATGCTTCACGAAACTTAATATAACATACTTTGGAGGAAAAAGTAAGAGGTGCATTGCTGCAAGATAAAAGGAAAAAAAAACAATTAGCCATATTGAATAAATATATACATATATTTTCAACTATTATTTCTTAATTGAAAAAATTTTAGATTTCCTGGAAAAGTTACACAAAAAACAAGTACAGAAATTTAATAATTTGCCTACTTAAAAATTTACTAATTTTTTAGAAATTTACAAATTTACTAAATTACCCTGTGTCAGAGACTGAAATGGTTAATGATTTACGCATTCTAGGATTGCCAGGGGACTTTTGCAGGCTGGGAAGAGGCGGCTATTGGCCCATCAAAGCCCATGCCCCTGCCAATCCTGAAAGGTGGGAAAAACCCTTTTACCATGCCCCTCACAGGAACTCTGCGCAGGCCCAGGAGACATTGGAGGCTCACAGCATGGCCCGTGACACTATCGATGGATATAATCACTCATAACTTCTTTGAGTGTGTAGGCTTCCCTCCTTCATCCCCAATGGAACAAGACCACCACTTCAACTGACAGACATGGAAGCTGCAAATACCAAGTTTCATCACTGGACCCTGTGGATGTTGACTATATACATTTTTCCTCTCTCATCTTTCCCTTACTCTCCCTTACCCTTATCCTGTCTTTTCCTTTCTCTCCCTTATGCATTTTCCCTAAAGGTTTTCTTTATACCATATTGCTATAGATGATAGATATAGATGATAACACCCAAAATGGCAACATACCTGTTTACCTTTGAAACAAAATTGTTCTAAAATAAACCCTACATATATGTTTTCAAACACCAATTATTCAGTGTCATTTCACTCTAATCCACCCCAAGGGATTTATTAATAAGAACCTGGGTTCCACCCCCTTTCTGGGGTGGGTGGTAACACCTTGTCACTTAAAAATGCATAGTATAGCCCCTGGAGCCCCTGGTGGTCTAGTGGTAAGGGCGCGGCGCTATCACCGCCGAGGCCCGGGTTCGATTCCCGGTCAGGGCCACTCCCGGGCAGGTGGAGCTCGTTAGCCTTAAAGGCAACCCATCTACATCCTAAGGACCTTGCTGCCACCGTCCAAGCTCGCTTGGCCCCGGCAGATGAACCTTAGGATTAAAGGGTGGGCTCAGTTCCGCGCACACTGTGTCTCACCTAAAAAATCCAATGCGCAGGCTGGAAGGTGTAAAGACCTTCCCCGGATCTTTGCTCGCGAAGACTGGCCATTATTATTACTATTATTATTATGTATAACCCCTTCTCCTTTTTAATGGAAACTTACAGAAGCCAAAATCCCAAATTACCAAGGCTGAGTTTCCTTACGAATCTTGCTAAACAAAATTACTATTGTAAATACCACCTTTACACAACATATTTGTAAATAATTTATAGTTTATCTTTTATCCTCCAAATAAACCTTGTTTAAGAAAGTCAAAGTGTCCAATGGAGGGCTACAAAGATGGTGAAGGGCCTTGAGGGGAAGCCGTATGAGGAGCGACTGAGGTCACTTGGCCTGTTCAGCCTGAAGGAGACTGAGGGGAGACCTCATTGCAGTCTACAAGTTCCTCACAAGGGGAAGAGGAGGGGCAGACACTGATCTCTTCTCTGTGGTGACCAGTGACAGGACCTGAGGGAACAGCATGAAGCTGTGTCTGGGGAGGTTTAGTTTGGGTATTAGAAAAACGTTCTTCACCCAGAGGGTGGTCGGGCAATTGATCAGGCTCCCCAGGGAAGTGGTCACAGCACCAAGCCTGTCTGAGTTCAAGAAGCATTTGGACAATGCTCTCAGGCACACGGTATGATTCTTGGGGTGTCCTGTGTAGGGCCGGGAGTTGGACTTTGATGATCATTGTGGGTCCCTTCCAACTCAGGGTATTCTATGATAATAAGCCCAGGCATTTTTTAGTGGGTCTTTTGGATATTAGCCCATATTAACTGATACTCTTTCTTAGGCCTTCACAAAAGAAATTTTGTTAAATCATATTAAGATAAAAACAGTTCTTGAGAGTTCTTTTAATTGTTAGGTCTTCGTTCACTAATGTAAGAAAAATCCTTTTTATCATCTGCCTTACTTTGGCATAGTGTGGTACAGGATAACACTGGAAGAGGTAGGAGGAATTCAATATTAGACTAGAATAAAGAAGGAAATTAAAAGTATGTATGTTGGGTAATTTGCTTTTCCCTTAGAAAGTACACCAACAGATACATCAGAAAGCACAATATGCAAACTTTATAATCTTGATCAAAAACAAAATTTGCTTTAAAAAAATGTATTCCCTAGTCAAAATTTATACTCTTTACACAATTAGTTTATTTCTTCATATGAAGTAAATACAGGTGAAGCCTTCAAAGACAGAATACAAAAGGATATTGCTGGAACATCAGTAAGTTCCATTTGAAAAAATATATCTATCTTCCAGCAAAGTAGCAAATCATGGAAAATACACTGCATGAACTGTTTAATCCTTACCCTCTCTCAATTATAAGACTTGTCAAATTTCTGGAAGTACCAGAAGGAGTTCAAGTTTAGCTCAATCCATCTTGCAGTCTCTCAAATTCCAAGCAGGTACTCTCAAAGTTGTTGTATGGAATTAATAAACACATCAGTGCTGCATCTACATTGAGGAAGATGATTAAAATCCAAAAGGTCTAAAATTCTAAAAAGTTTCTGAGTCCTCTTATTTTACTAAGTGGGCCTCCTAAACTTCCCCAATAGGCCTTTTAAGAAACCTTTCTTAGAAAAGTCCTATTCTGTTTTAATTCCTTTTGTTCAATTTTTTTCTGCCAATCCTTTTCAAGGCTGAATTGAGGTAGAGTCAGTCTTCTTCCTAGGGTTACAAAGCACCGATGCAAAAAAGCAGGTCCTACATCTATGATTTAAGGTTACTATAATACAGTTTCTTTAAGAAAGCAAGAAAACTCAAAAAGGAAATAAAGATCTGAATAGTATTCGGATGTTTCTATAATTTTTGTTTTCCTTTGTAGGGAGACTAACATCCATCTCTCAATAGAACAACAACAAAACAAAAACATAAGAATGACCTATTCAGAAAGCTACAGTGAAAAGTCAAATAAAAGGCTACAAAACATCCCTCAAAGGGTGTGATAGTTTGGACCTGGCTCCCTGCCAAATGCCCGAAAGTCACAACAGCAGCCCCCTTCCCCCCTCCCTTCTCCTCTTGGGGCAAAGAAAAAAAAAACTATAAAAAATTAAAGAACCCAAAGTCAAGCTACTTATATAAAAATATATATATATATTTACGTAAATTACAGTTATATACAGTTAAGATGCTATATACACAGTAAAAGGGGATCCACCCCCGAAGGGATAGGGAAAGGGGAAAAAAGGGACGAAAGGGAACAAAAGGGACACCGAACAGGTATACTTGATCAAACTCAAGAATTATACTAGTAACTACCAAAACAGATCTCACCACTTTCCTTAGATAAGCAGGATTGGCAGACACAGCCAGCACTCTCCGAACCCCCCATGTGGCAGGCCAGCGGTCGCTGCAGGCCTCAGCTTTAGATAAGCGAGACCAACGCAAGGAACTACAGTTCCCGACCCTCGCTGGAAGAGAAGAGAGTGAGGTCTCTAATCTCCAACTTATTTATACTCTGGTTTATGTAAAAATCGTATGGAATACTGGGTACTTGGCTACTTCCTTGGTTACAAACTGGTTATCAGGAAGGCCTAGACCAAAACCATCACAAAGGGTCCAAATTTTCTCAGGGTGGAGATGGTGGAGACGACAACAACATAAATTAATAACCTGTCAAAACAAGATGTTCTGGAATAATTGTGCAGATCACATTTAAATAAGGCTCTGTGCATTTTATATCAAAGGCCTTATCTATATTGAAGTTGCTGCAGGATATAACAATATCTAAGAAACACTTATGTGTACTAGCTTCCAAGACCACTCCAGAACATCCAGAAGCATTAGAACAACATTATAACAGGGCTTCCAAAACCTGATGGTGTTTTGTGCCTCCCTGCTTTCAAAGAATTCATTCTGCAAAAATTCAATTTCTATAAAGCTTTTCAATATTTAACTGATCAAAAATCCTCTTACAGCCACATTTGAAGGCTTATTGCTACAAATGTAATTTTGAAGGCTTCTCTGAAACATAAACTTCAACTGGGTGACAAACCTAACACAAAAGCATGACTGGGACTAAGAATCTGATTACAGATGTCACTGGTCTCCTAGTGTGCTGAAAAACAATTCTAAGCTATTAAAATAGTTGGCATAGGGAAGTATATACCCAAGGCAAAAGACCTGTCACACTCTGCTAACCAGCTTCAGATCTCAACTGTACTGCAAACTGGAAGTGATCTATAAAGACTGGTCTTGGCTTTGTTCAGAACTGTGAGAAAATAAAGCCATGCTTTCATATTCACACAAAAGTCTATTTAAACAGCCAACAGAAAGGTAGCAAGTTAATACTTTCTCAGACAACACATTTTGTAAGTTTCAGTAGCTTTGGGCTGGTAAAAAAACAAAACCCACATAAATGCAGCAGAGACCAAAGTTTCAGAGAATATTCTACAAAGCAGGGAACATAATATACCCTCTTGTCATGGTTTAGGAAGGGTACTCCCCAGTTTAGTGCTCCCAGTGAGACTCTCCAAACCATGCTGCCACTCACTTGCTACCCCCTTCCGCCTTTCTCCCTCCCCCTCCCATGAAGCTGGCTGGAGAGGAGAATTGGAGGCACAAAAGGTAAAGATAAGAACAATTTATTTGAGATAAGAATAATTTACTGGAAACAGCAATGAGATAAGTAACAGTAACAATACTAATGACAGAGGGAACAAGAAAAGAAACATTATTGCCCCCCCCACACTCACTCCAGCTTGGAACCAGCATTATCCCATTGCTCCCTCTGTCATGCTTACTCGACCAGAAAGAACCCCTTCTCCCCAGAGGAGACTCCCTTCCCCTCAACACCGGCAATGAGGTGAGGTGGTATAGAATAACATCGAGGTCCTGGCCATGCCCCCTCCTGGCTACTGCAAAAATTAACCCTGTCCTGGA